TTTAGCTTTGTTTTTCAACCATTTCCCATTACATGGGAGCGCCACAGTTTAATGTGGTTGACAAGCTGCCAAGGTGAAGAGACCCTTCCCCATATTGATGGGAGGGCCCCAAAGGCAAGGAGTTAAAGTCAAAGGCAAGCAGATAAATGTCAGCGTTCTTCCATGTGGTCTTGGAGCGCTGTTTGTGCCTCTGGACCAGATCCAGCTAATTTGCAAAAGTTGTACATAGCCTTCCCTTTGGGTGTATCTAAATTGATATAGTCTCAGTCCTGTTGCTATTCAAGAAAGTTCTTTCTTTTTGAAAAGCTCTTTCTGGGTTAATTTCTGGTGAAACACTACCACGGCTTTGAGGAATGTACTTTGGATTAAACAAAGGAAAATTAATCACATTGTACGATATCATTTCATTATAGTTTGAAAGAGTCCCTTTATATATTCTCTTATAAACTTTCTTATACAACTTCCATATGGCTTTTCAGTAGTCCTTGAAACTACACAGACATAAGATTAGTTCAGATCTAAAAATGTATGTATATATATTTGACCATATGGCTTCAACAGCTGATAAAGTGGACCTGTTTTAATTCTGTAACGGTTTTATATGTTTTGACCACTAGGTGGTAGTACTGGCAATCCCTTGTAAGTGAACTTTACCTATTTCATACATTTATTACTTGAAGGTTTTCCAAGTATGTAAACAATTAAAAATAAGAACAAAATAGAAAAATTTGAAATAGGAAAAATAAGAAAAATAAAGTAAAATTTAGAATACCTTTAAGTGGTTGGAAATAACTTGAATTTTAGTGCTGTTGGTGATAGTTATAAAGGCAGATGCTTTTTGAGTGCTGTAAATTCTTTTTTTTTTTTTTTCTGAGACAGAGTCTCACTGTCACCCTGGGTAGTATCATGGCGTCATCATAGCTCACAGCACCTCAAACTCTTGGGCATGAACAGTCCTCTTACCTCAGCCTCCTGAGCAGCTCAGATTACAGATGTGCACCACTATGCCTGGCTAGTTTTTCTATTCTTTTAGTGTGTGTGTGTGTGGGAGGGTGTTTCTCTTTTGCTCTGACTGGTCTTGAACTTCTAAACTCAAGCAATCCACCCGCCTCAGCCTCCCAGAGTGCTAGGATTACAAGTGTTGACCTGAAAATTCACTTTTTAATTATAAAGTCTTGGAGCCAGCTCAGTGGCTGTAATCTCAGCTACTCAGGAGGCTGAGGTGAGAGCATCCTTGACCCCAGGAGTCCAAGGCTGCAGTGAGGTATGACTATGCCACTGTACTACAGCCTGGATGACACATTGAGATTCCATCTTGTTAAAGATAAATAAATAAATGTAAAACCCTGGAAAATATACTCCTGACACCTTATTCTTGCTTACCTACTTTTTATGTGTGATATTTAGGACTGAATTGTTTTTTGTTTTGTTTTGTTTTTTGCAGTTTTTGGCTGGGGCTGGGTTTGAACCTGCCGCCTCCAGCATATGGGGCCATCGCCCTACTCCTTTGAGCCACAGGCACTGTCCAGGACTCAGTTGTTTTAAGAAGTTACTCAAGTGCTATAGGACATATTAAATAATATGTTATTTTAAGTACATAATAAATTATATGTTATCTAGTATTTGGCCCTCTTTTCTTTGATGTGTTACTTTAGATTTCCTAAAAGATGTTAGACTTAAAATACTAAATTTGCAGTCGGTACCTGTGGCTCAAAGGAGTAGGATGCCAGCCCCATATGCTAGAGATAGTGGTTTCAAACCCAGCCCTGGCCAAAAGCTGCAAAAAAAAAAAAACCAAAAAAACTAAATTTGCATAAATTTTCATCCATCAATAAAAATATAGAAAATGTGGGGAAACAATAGAAACTTGAGCAGTACTTTCGGTTAGGGCACTTTAAGGATCTAGATTTATTTCTCAGTTTGAGCATCAAAAATACTTTGTGTATAACCTTTTTTGCTCATAAAATTGACACTCTTGCTATGTGCTAAAACTTGGCTATCCAAAATTCTCAAGGAATTAGTCATTTAGAAAAGCCAAGTTTCCTACACAGCTGAGGAATTCTCTCTTCAGGCACTAGTGTTTTCTAAATACTAGTGGAAGAGTTTTTAAAATGGATCCCATACGTCTCTGTCTTCCTCACTGGAGCCAGTAGAAAAGATTTTGCCCTTTCTTAATGAGTGAGGTTCTTCTTGTATTCTGGATTGTTTTCAAAACCTGCCACTGTGGGGGGAATGCTTTACCCTCAGGCTAAATGGCCTCTGACTTCTGCACCTTTGAGTTCCTGTGACTGCTTTTTATGGATTTTTTAATCTCTAGCTGTCACTGTTGTTCCCAGTGGCAGGCTTGTGGCTAGCAATTCCTGTCACATTTCTTTTCTTGCTGATTCTAATTAAAGAATGATAGCTGTTTCAGTTGTATGTAAAAGAAAAATATGGTCCATTACTCTTCTCTGAATGCTGTGTATGAACCCTTAATATTTTGGGATACTCAGAGCCTTATAAAATATTTGGTTCTAGAATGTGTATCCAAAAACTTAGATATTTGGAGGTGGTGGATCGAATCTGAAAACTTTGGTAAAAGTGTTTACTGTTACTTTACTGTTACTCTCATTAGAAATGCTGTGCTGGCTCGGCGCCTATAGCTCAACCGGCTAAGGCGCCAGCCACGTACACCTAAGGTGGCAGGTTCGAATCCCCAGCCCGGACCTGCCAAACAACAATGACGGCTGCAACCAAAAAATAGCCGGGCGTTGTGGCGGGCGCCTGTGGTCCCAGCTACTTGGGAGGCAGAGGCAGGAGACTCGCTTGAGCCCAGGAGTTGGAGGTTGCTGTGAGCTGTAATGCCATAGCACTCTACCCAGGGGGACAGCTTGAGGCTCTGTCTCAAAAAAAAAAAAATAAAAAAAAAAAAATGCTGTGCTGTGAGGCGGGGCAGGTATGTGACCCTGGAATCCCATCGGAGGTGGGTGCCCACAGTATTCCACCGCTCCTCGCTATTTACTTCCCTTTTCATCTTTTACTTCCCTGTGTACTTTCACTTTTTTTGGACTTTGCACTGGCTTATTATTCTTCCTATTATTCTTCCTTTGTACTCTCTCCTCTATAGCTTTTGGTAATGTTATGGACTTTGCTTGCTAGCAGCATAAAGCTTAAAAGCTGCCTACCCCTTTTGAAAGATTTCATTCATATTAGTTAAGTATTAAAAATAATTCTCACTACTTGTATATTTTCTTTTACAAAAAAATCTCATACACTTATTTTCATAAGATTTACAGTGCTGTGGCATTTGACCAGTTCTAACTTTGGCAAATAGGTTTCGCCGTTACATTTTCTCCTCCGTCCCCACCTCCCCTTCCCTACCCTCATTTCCTTTGGATTTTTCACTTCCTTTCTTTGTTTACTGCACCCATGCTCATATTCGCCTGCATTCATGTGGAATAAATGATTCATGTCCATAATTCTTGGGTCCTAGGAGATGAAAATTTTATGCAGTAATGTTATTGATCCCATTTCATTGGTTCTCTGTAATGTGCTCTGTGCGGCACCTGTTCGGGGCCTAATGCAGCCGCACACAAACCCTTCTCTCCTAAGACAAAGACAAAGGATTTGACTAGCCCCACTCCCTGAGAAGTTCTGGCCAAAAGACCCTAACCTGACAGGCAAACTGTGGAATCTGCCCACGCCCACAACCCATGTAAAGGGAGTCTCTCACTGCCACCCTCCCACGCAGACACCATCTTTGCACTGGCCAAGCAGGAGGGTCACCCACCCCTTTCAGTATACCTGGCGTGAACATCTGTGTGGGCTCCACTGTTTACAAGTGTCAGCACCTTTAGGCATCCTGTTCACAGATTAAGTATGTATGAATACTTTTGAGACTCTTAAATTATAGATTGAATATTGAATCAATCCATATCGTAAGGCAGGTTGTCATAAGGCAAGCTGTTGACTGAATACTTTGTATTCTAGACGGAATACTTAAATTCAGTAAGGGTCATATTTGGGAGACCCCTGATAATACACGGAGACATTTTACATTCCACCAAACTTAGCAGAGATGTGTATATACAATTTATTTTATTGATTTCAAGGCCAAAATTTTGCATTAAACATTCTGTTTTTCTACTGTAAATTTACTTCTGGCATCTCTCTTCTGCAACATCTACACTGCATGTAACCTTTAGCTTACATCTATAGTCAGAATGAAAAGTCATTGGGTTATTTCAGTCCTCCTAGCAACAGTTTTTGTGGTTGACTAAATGGAAGTAGTCTTAGACTTTTAATCAAAAGGGCTGCAGTTGGGCACCTCAGTAATGGACAGATTTTCCACTGCTCAGAATGTTCATTCAAGCTAAGAGAATCCACTCCCTATGCCACATGGAGTATGTTGTGTTGTCAGTTTAATGATAGAGACTTCTAAAAGCCATTTATATCTTTTTGCCATTTATTTAGTCCCTATTTGCTGACCTTAATTTTTTTCATTTTGGTGGTTCGGTACAACCGAGGGCTCATTTCACGATAAACTCATATTGATCACTTTGTATTTTCCTAGCAATATGGGCAACATCTGTATGCATTATCCTTAAGCGAGAGAGAGTGTGCATCTATTTGTTAAATCACCATTCGATGTTAGAAAAATAGGAAGAGGAAATAGCACTAACGAGAGAGCACGGAGACCTGGGTTCAGTCCTGGTTCAGCCACTGACTACATGTGTGACTTTTGGAAAGTCAATGAATCTCTCTGGGCCCCAGTTTCCTTATCTTTGAAATGAGAAGTTTGGACTAGTTAATGTCTTAAGTCTTTTCCTGACTGAAAATTCATCGTGTTGCTGTGCACAGTAAAACACTCCATTGATCTTTCAGTAGTTTTGCATTTGGGGAATATGGGATGGTTTTGACATGGTGTTCTTTCAGTGTGGCGTTTTAATAATATAAAAAATGTGTTCTTGGAATTGCTTCATATGCAAATATACTAAAAGGAGCTTCTCTTTTTCTTTCAGGACAGTGGCTTTGTGCATATTCATACCCCGATAATCACATCTAATGACTGTGAGGGGGCTGGAGACCTTTTTCAAGTTGAAGTAAGTTGTGCTTCTCATCTTGAAGGATATATTGCTGTTTCATATTTTTCATATGAGGGTTTGCTTTAAATTTAATAAGAATAGTATACACAGAAGACCATGGGAGGTACCTGAAATTGTCCCTAATGATTTTTTTTTCTTAATTTCAGGTTAATGTGAGGGAACAAACAACCAGGTCACAAGATTTGAATTTGTTAGGTTTAGTCCATCTTATAGTCGTGTCCTGCACCCAAAAGGTGTGCCATACACCCCTACCTTGTGCCCGTTAAGTGGAAGCATACCAATCCGCCCTCCCTCCCCTTCCCTCATTCTTTTTTTTTTTTTT